AGAGAATGTTTTGAAGCTGCAAACAAATGCATTCCTGCAGCAGTTTAGTTCGTAGGCAAAATAAGCTGTTCCGTTACTTCAACCGAAAATGAAGAAAAATGGACAGAAAAAGTGCGAATCGGCGAATATGAGCTAAAATTGAGATTAGACACTGGAGCTTTTTATAACGTACTACCAATTAGAGTTGCCAAAAAGCTTGGTGTTCAGATAAATAGCAGCGAAATTAAACGCTTAAAGGCATATGACGGCGGTTTTATAAAAGTGTTAGGTGGGACAGAAGTACCCTGTTGTACACAGCGTACAACGAACAACGTCCAAAAATTGGTATGCTTCAAAGTAATTGGAGAGAACTATCAGGCGATTTTAGGGGCTGACGACTGCGAAAAGTTAGGATTTGTGAAGCGTGTAAGCCAGTTAGGGTGCTGCAACAATTTCGAATACGACATAGATTTCGTAGACAGTCCGAAATTTAAAATCGTTCCAGAGAGGAAGGTTCCATATGCAATCGAGAAAAGTGTGAAGCAGGAAATACAAAAAATGGTTAAACTCGGCGTAATAAAAAGCGTTAGTGAGCCCACACCTGCTGTTAGTCCAATGCTAGTAGTAAACAAACGAAATAAGATACGTGTATGCATGGACCCGATCGAACTGAACAAATATATTAAGCGACCGATTTACCCTATAAAAACTGTCGAAGAGGTAGCAGCAAAAATTCATGGTAGCAAATTTTTCACCAAACTTGATTGCCAAAAAGGCTTCTGGCAAATCAAAGTAACTGAACGAACATTGAAATATTTAACATTTTCTACGCCCTGGGTACGTTTTAGCTATCTTCGTATGCCCTTTGGAATTTCGTCAGCGCCAGAAGTTTTCTGCGGTGTAATGAATCGAACGTTAGAAGGCATAGAAAGATGCGAAGTGGCCATGGACAATATTTTCATACACGCACTGACTCTAAGCGAGCTACGAAAAACAACACAGAAAGTAATAAGCCGATTGAAAGACGCTGGATTTACACTAAATCGCGAAAAATGTGAGTATGAAAAGAAGTCGCTAAAGTTTCTAGGTCACATTTTCACCGAAAATGGGTATAAAGCAGACGAAGAAATGATAAAAGCAATTTGCCTGCTCAAAAAGCCATCTTGTGTTAAAGAGTTGCAACGCCTGTTGGGAATGGTAACATATCTCGGCAAATTTATAAAAAATTTATCGAGATTGACAGAGCCATTACGCCCACTTTTATGTAAAGAAAACGTGTGGAGATGGGAACACGAGCATACCAGCGCATTCGAAGCTATAAAACGAACACTGACAAAAACTCCCGTACTAGCTTATTACGACGTAAAGAAACCAGTGAAACTATCGGTTGACGCCAGCAGTCAATCTATGGGGGCATGCCTGATGCAAGACGGCAGACCATTAGGGTACGCCACTAGAGCATTAACTAAATCGCAGCAAAAACAACCGCAAATAAGCAAGGAAGCCTGGGCTATCCGTTTTGGATGTCAAAAGTTTCACGATTACGTTTACGGGAAACAGCTAGAAATTGAAACGGACCATAAGCCCCTGCAAACGATTTTCAGCAATCCGATTCAAAATGCACCAATACGATTACAGGGTGTGCTGTACGACATTCTACAATATTCACCGAATATTACGTACACAAAAGGATCGATGATACCAATTGCAGATACTTTGAGCCGTGACTGCGAGCCGATATAAATGGATGAAGACGAGCCAGTTTACTTAATCCATGCAATTGGAGACACAATGCGCAAAAGGCTAATTAAAGAAACTGCAGCCGACGGCGAACTACATGCACTCAAAGCAGCCATCATGAGAAAATGGCCAGATAACGAAGTTGAGGTGCCAAAGACCATTAGAAAATACTCGGCTATTAGGCACGCAATTACGTGCGAAGACGAGTTGTTGTTGAAGGGTAACAAAATTATTCTACCACATAATTTATTAAAATCTGTCATTGCAGAAGCGCATAGGGGCCATAGCGGAATCTCAACGACCATGCATCGTATCCGTCAATCATTTTTTTGGAATGGTCTTACGACCGACACCAAAGACTTCGTTGAAAAGTGTGCAGTATGTCAACAAACACAACGAGCAAACCCTAAAAACCTTTGAAATTGCGAGACATACCCGAATATCCCTTTCAATTAGTGTCGACAGATATTTTCAAATTTAAAGGTGACGACTTTCTACTGATCGCCGATCACTACTCCGGATTTAACGACTTCCGAAAACTCAAGTCAAGTACATCATCGGAAGTAATATATTTATTACGTCAGTGGTTCTCCGTACATGGAATTCCCGAGATACTTGAGTCCGATGGAGGCCCACAATACAGCAGCCAAGCCTTCAGAGAGTTCGCAACAAACTGGAAATTCAAGCACAGAATTTCTTCACCACATTACCCTCAATCCAATGGATTCGCGGAGCGCAACGTTCAAACTGTTAAAGGTATTTTAAAGAAGTGTTGGCACGATGGAAGCGATCCATATTTAGCGATGTTGTTGCTGCGTAATACGCCGCGAAACAAAGTACTAAAATCTCCCAGTCAACGATTATTCAGTCGGCAAACCAGGACCATTCTGCCTATTGAAAAGATAAACTGAATGCCCAAAGTCGTGTTTGGTGTCGCCAAAGAACTGCAGGAACTGCGTGATAATCAAAAACGCTGTGCCGATCAGGTCGCAACTCCTCGCCCACCGCTTAAAACAGACGACAACGTCAGAATGCAGACAGGTCATCGCGAATGGAAACCAGCCAAAGTCGTCGAGATGACAGAAAGTCCACGCTCAGTCATAGTGGAAACACCCGAAGGCAGAAAATATCGCAGAAACAGCAAATATCTCCATACAACAAAAGCGAATATACCTTCGGAAAACTCACCAACGCTGGAATGTGAATCCAATAACGCTCACGTACCTGTATCCAATGAGTACCAGGAAATTGCACCTAGTGAACAAGCCAGAGCAGCGGCATCCAAACTCAGTACTCCGGCGAAAATGCAGACCGGCAGACTAAGGTCTCCCGCTACGGACGGAAAATCAAACCTGTCGAAAAATACGACCCTTCAAAATATTAAACTTAAGCAAATACTTTTATAAAATCTCAATTAATAGCATTTACTTTTATAAACACATATACTATTTTTCTTATACACATAAAAATATATATGCATACGTATATACATGTAAATATGTATCCACAAACCCTGCAGTACGGGGGAGTGACTACAGGACTGCTGAATCGGTAGCTACCTAATAAACACCGTTAATTACCGACCCAGTGTATTCCATCGATTACTTTTACAAGGCAATGTCCTAGGCGGTAGTCACCATCGGCTCTCTCTGCACTACCGGAAGTTACTAAAGTAGTCACTTGCGTGATTTATGGGCGCCCTCTGTCGTAGTTTTTCGCTATTCTGCTTCGACTCTGCACTACCACGGGTTAATAGAGTAGATACTTACCTAGGAGTCGGTGCAGTAGCGGTTCAAAAGTAGCGATTGACTCCAGCAGTACTGGAGGGAATATACAAATATTTTGTGTGCACACACATCTACATGTAATACGAATGCGATGCATAGAAACTGAGTGAACTTCAGATTTATGCTCTAAATTTGCCTCTAATAATAAGATCAAAAAGTTCATTTTTTCTCAGAAAAGAGAGGATGTCACGAGAACATACCTATCCATACCTGTCAAGGGCAAGTATGTATATAAATGATGTAGGTATGCTATATATACTTATGTACTTATATGAGTTCCACATATGCACTAACTCTCCCTATCGCTCAACATGTTTGTTACTCAATAAAGTCAGTCTTCAACTTGCACTGAGTGTTTATGCATATACGGTTAGAATATTCTCGTTACAGGCACTGGATTGGTACATTAGTACAGATTTATACATTTTTATATTGGGCTATTGGTACAAAATAAAAAAAAATTGAGAACATTTTTTTTTAGTTAAAAGATTAGTACAATACAGCGATGTTCTATTGAAAATTTCAACAAATTAATTTTCATAATTGGGATAAAGAAAAATATTTGGGTATTCACACAATTGGGATACGATTTGCACCAAATTTTGGCAAATACCCCATCGTGTGGCATTGCCTTTAAACTTGTATTTATACGGATGTCATTAAAGAACGAACAATAAATATAATATTGTAATGGCCTTATTCATAAAAAATAAAGTAGGTTTAAAGAGCTTTATAAATTGACATTTTAATATATTTTTCAATTTATAAACCTTTTATAAAGCTACTTTATTTTTTATGAATAAGGCCATTAAAATATTATTTTTATTGTTCGTTCTTTAATGACATCCGATAGACCAAAAATATGGCAAAGAGCGCCCCACGCTTTTTCACAATAATACTAGTATTTTTTGTTCATTATTATTTTCAACTTATATTAAGAATTATTTTTTACTTTTTAGTTTGATATGCTTTAAAAGCGTGTTTTTAGTTTTTTTTTAAACTATATTTATTTATAAATTGTTGTTGCTTTGCTAGCCGGCAATTACAAGTACCTGATGAAGATCTTGCAGAAGCAATGAGCTTAGCCGACTTGGCTTTAAAGGAATTTGAAGAAATGCGACAAGATGCAAAAAAAACTTTCATTTGCTTTTCGAACACGTAGAAGAAGTATGCACCAACCTAGATACAGAAATCAAAGTACCGCGATACAGCAGTCGCCAAAAGAATCGCTCGGAGACGCCGAGGCATACTATCGCATTGCTTTTTACATTACCTTCCTTGAAACATATATTGCTCAATTGAAAAGCCGGTTCCTAAATCATAAATCAGTTTTAAATAATTTTAGTGTTTTGTTTCCAAAGAATGATTTTAACGAAAAAAAAACTGAAGAATTGTTTGCTTTCTATAAAAGAGTAATCGACTGCTCGAAACAAAACTTTCTTCTGGAGGTAAAAATGTGGAAAAAACGAGTTTCACACGAACATTTTCGAAATGCTCTCGAAGCATTACAAGTAGCTAATACAACGTCTTTTGGGAATGTTATTAAGATCTTACATATATTGGCACTTTTGCCCGTTTCAATAGCCATACCTGAGCGAAGCTTTTCATGCCTGAAAAGAATTAAAACCTACTTGAGAAATACAACATGTCAAGAAAGGCTCAACGGTCTAGCATCTATGAATATTCACAGAGATATAAATTTTTCAGTTGACGAAGTTCTAGAAGAATTTTTCAAAAAACCACGAAAAATTTGAAAATTCTTCGTTTCATTGATTTATAAGTAAAAAGACAAATTTAATATGTTTAAAATTATCAATATGTTTTATAAATAAAGCGAAAAATTTAATATATGACTTTAAAAATTCGTGTTTTGAAACTTTATTACGCATACTTTCTTCTAAAGAGCCTTTTTTCTAGACCCATATTAGTGAAATATTAATTGCGTTCCCTAACTTTTCTGGGTTAAATCCTGTAAAACTGTCACAAAGCAAAAGAACCCTATTAAGCTGGCATTTCAGGGTACTATTTTATATATATATAAGGAAAATTTGAAAGTTAGGGGGGGCTCGGGCACCCCCGCCCCTACCTGGCTACGCCCATGCTCAGATAAATCCGTTCTCTAGGGAACTTGTTGCAGTAGAAGAATACATGTTCGACGTCTTCGGTAACGCTTCCAGCGCAGGGATCACATGTATCAGTATCTTCCAGCCATCGCGTGTGAGGTAAGGATTAAAGTAGCCGTGACCAGTAAGCAACCGGGTTATATGAAAATTTACCTCACCATGAGGTAGCCTATATAGTATGTATATATGTAGGTATGAAAAATTAATGACCCATCCATATGTATGTACATATGTACATAATATTTATGGAGTCAGGTATACATATATGAACACATATTCACGCATATCAAGTTTTGTTTAAAATCCAAGTTTTCTTCATCGCAGAAAAGATACAGAAAGCAATGTGAAGGTGCAATTCTTTGGCAAAAACAAAACGCCATTAATTTCAGACTTCCTAAAATTTTTCTGGTTCCGCCAAAGAAGTTTCTGCACTTAAAGAAAATATTGAACAAAGCGTTGCA